AAAATGGTGTGTTTGTTGACATCTTTGAAAAATCGATAGCGAGAGGTGGAGTCACGCATCGATCGATGAGAGACGGTGGCGAGCGGGGAGCGGGGAGCGGTGAGCGGGCGAACGCGTTCGCTATCGTTTTTTGAGAGATGTCAACAAACACACCATTTTGCATGCTGCCGAGTCCGGCCTTCCGCTCCTCCGTGCACTTATTGGCTCAGACGTTTTTCTGAATTAGGTAGATAATAATTACGATTTTGTAAAATTTTATATAACTTTTCTTCTCAGTTTAACCCAATCTACTATAATCTTTGTGGTCGTCCATATCGAATCTGACACCCTGTAGAATAAATTACATTGTCACAGTAGATTTCATTGTTCATGTTAGATGTGTAGCATTTCTTAATGTATATACATTTTTGTTACTTTTCTAACAGGAGGACTCATAAACATGTTTATGATTTTCATCTTATTCGCGTTGCTGCCGCAACTACTTTGTACCATGGTGCATGACACAATGTTGTGCTCGGAATACTTCATATACACAATACATCCTGAAACACTCAAGATAGTGGGAAGATTAGAAATCCCATCTCCACCAGAAAATGACGAAATGTTATATTTAAAAGTTGCCTTAAACACTACAGCTTATTCTCTCGTAAGTATCTGTTTAAAATTTTTAATATTATTAAAAGAAGGTATATTAATAAAGAGACATTTGTATAAGTTTGTAGCCATGAATACAGGCAATTTTGAATACTTTTAGCACACTAAAATAAAATCTTTTTAAAAGCAAATTTTTTCTACTGAGGATCGTACAGTTATTGTAATTAGTACTGTAAAGAAATAAAACTACTTTGAGTCTTAAAAGAAGTACATATTAAAACAACACAAGTATATACACCTACGAAAATGTTTACGCGAAATAATTTCTGTTCGGTATATATGTGTGAAATAATCTTTTAATATATCTAGATATTATTTAAACCAAGTAAAATATATAGTTTACTCGTGATCTGACACAGATAATCCGGGATTAATGTACAAATTTTATTTGTAATTCTTGTCTAATTTGTCATCTCTTAATTTTATTTCCTAATAAATAGAAATAAAAAGCTTAACTGTCAGAGGATTTAAATGTTATCACATCGCGGATGTTAGAAGCAAAACATTCAAACATGTACTTTATTATTGAAGATTTTAGTAACTCTAATTTATTTACTCATATAATTTATCACGTTGTAATTGCATTGTACTCTCAAAGCTTACCTTTACTTGAGCTGGTTAATTTTATTATTAAGAGAACATATCGTTAGTTTCTTTTCCATGTATTAGAAACAGCTAAATTATCCTTGCGTTCTAGAAAGGGTTGTTTCGAATAGAATTGGCACGACCGATAAAAGAGACCATTCAAGCTATTCAACAAGGTAGACCTTTGTTATATCATATTAATTTTCCTTTGGACGAAAAATTTCCGACATTATCCGCGATATGGTTCAATAATCAGGAATATTGCTTCGGCCCCGGATGTGAGTACCCTATTTGATTGAAATGCGTGACAAATTTACATACATATATGCGATGAAAAAGAAGCGAGAAATATATTTATTAAATCTTTCGAATTAAAGGAAATTAATTTTACTCGCATCTGCTTACATGTAAATTTTAACCCACTATAGTAGGAGATGAATAGTAAAACTCTTATTAAAACAATCGCTAATTCCTTTTTATCATGCATATCATTTTCTATATTTAGGTACAAAGAATTTGACTGTTACTTATTTTGCCTGGAAATTATTTCTATTCACGGAAGAAAATAAAACTCTTTTTGAATTCTAAGTTAATGTGCGATTTAAGAGATATGTTCCGTTGCATCGCAGCGTCAAGTGAAAATATCGTATCCAATATCGAATTGGGGCATTATGTGTACCCTCCGGACAAAGAACCACTGCCGCAGGATTTTCAGCCGTGGCATCGAAATTCGAGTGGCTACCGCATAGACAATCCGTATTACAATAGGAACACCAAATGCGGTGTTACCAGTTACTACACCGATAGCACAAATAGACTGATCCCCAACGGTGAGACGTCATTACCAGGCCAGTGGCCGTGGGTAGTTGCAATCTACAGACTTACTAGAAATATACAGTTTGAGATAAACTACCAGTTTCAATGTGGTGGTTCTCTATTAACAAACAGACATGTATTAACAGGTATGTTAATTGAGAAAATTCACTATTTCCATAGTCCATACCCAGATAGCACCGAATGTTCCATGAATGTTTGTATATGATTCGAATGTTCTCCCTCAGGAATATTCGCATAG